TGCCACTTATTTCCGCCCCCTCCCTTCTCCCACCACACCAGTTCCCAGGCTGGCACACGGCAGCAGTGACTCCTTTGGGTTCCTGCACGCAGCTGGGGCTGTGAATGTCAGCTGTGGAGCTGTTCTCACTGACCACCCGGGCTGTGCAGCTGCCCAGAGAAGCTGCAGATGCCCCATCCATGGAAGTGTTCCAAGGCCAAGCTGGATGAAGCGCTGAGAAAACTGGTCTGCTGGAAGGTGTCCCCGCCAATGGCAGTGGAACTGGGTGATCTTTGAGGTCCCTTCCAACCCAAACCACTCTGTTATTCTGTGACTACACGCTGCTGTCTGCAGGGATATCAGATGGCAAAAATACATGAGATCGCTTTCAGGCATTGTTTTCTCAGTCTGCCACATGTCATTTATTTGCCATCATTTCCCTACTACTTCCCTATTTAATCTTTGAAAGGTTTGGGTTGCTTCTTTCCTTTTTTTTTTTTTTTTTTTTTTTTTTTTTTTTTTTTTTTTTTTTTTTTTTTTTTTTTTTTTTTTTTTTTTTTTTTTTTTTTTTTTTTTTTTTTTTTTTTTTTTTTTTTTTTTTTTTTTTTTTTTTTTTTTTTTTTTTTTTTTTTTTTTTTTAAAACATTTAAAAGCCATTTAGTGCTGCTATACCCTGTACAAAGTTACCCATGTCATTTTGCTGGGTAAATAATGTGACGTGAGCACAGCCCCGGGAGCACATCTCCATGAGGAGCAGCAGGCTGTCTTACAGCCGGAGAGGAGCGAAGGAAGTGTGACCTCTAGTGAACTCGAGTGCTTATACCACTTCTGCAAGAGGCAGAGCCTGGAGTTATCTGCACACTCCGCAAAAGTTTACCCACAGCTCTGAAATGAAGATAGTTTTTTTGTTGCAGCGTAACCCAGAATGAAGATGAAGGACAGGAAGAAGAAGGATAATTATAATCCAAATTACTGCAGAATTTTTAACTGACTGGAGAGATTAATATTACAGAAGCATCTGAATAAGGAAAAAACTGTGGTTTCTGATTACTCCCTTTTATTTCTGAAACTACTCTGCCTCCTTTTCATTTTTATTTAATACAACAATTTCATTGTCTATACTTAAAATATATTGAATACTTAATCTGCGGAGAGATTTCTAAAGTATTTTGGGGTCTGCTCATGTCATGAATTTTTTGACTAGAAGTCATACATACCTGCTGAATTCATCAGTTTCTCCTAGATACCCATCAGACATTAGAACTGAGGTATAGTAAAAAAAGAGTGTCTATTGCCCTTAAAACTGACTTGAATAAAAGAAACATTACAAGCAAACATGACAACTGAAAGTGACCTGTGCAATAAACAGCAGCACTGCCCAGGATTGCCACAAGCAGTGTTTCAGTAATGGAACTGGATGCTGAACTCGAGGCACTTCCCTGCAAAGCTCCTGCTGGCAGCTAGGGAGTACAAATTCATAATTCCAGTCCTAGAGAGAGTAATCACAAACTAGTTCCTTGAGGAAAGCAGCCTAAAATAGTCTGAACACTCAGACAGCAGGGCATACAGTCACAGCAAGTTCAGTTTTCAGAAGGCTGTACAAACCACAGAAACTTTTCGATTCACCTACAAGCAGTGATTTTTGGTTTTGTTTTGTTTGTTTGTTTTTAACTTTACAACAGATTAGGCTCAGAAATACAATCACTGTATATCTCACAGATCCCAGACTGACTGAGGTCAGAGGGCATCTTGTCCAACCCTCTGCTCGAGCAGGGCCACCTAAAGCCCCTGAAGCTCAGGACCATCCAGACAGCTTTTGGGTATCTCCAAGGATGGAGATTCCACCACCTCCCTGGTTATTCTGTAAGTGATCTTATACATGGAAATACCTGATAAGAATGATTTCAGTAAAATCCTCTATGTATTTTGGCTTTATGTGACCCATAAATTACAATTCCTCTTGTCAGAAGTACAGCATCACATCCACGAAGCACATGGGCACAGGATGCTGAACTTTGCTGCCTTGTGATCACACTAAAACCAATCCATTATTGACAACGTGTTCATACAAGAAATAAAACCCAGAGCAGAGCAGGCAAAGCAAACCAGATTAGTGTTTTCTTTAGCAGAGTTCATCACTAATGCTGTGACTGGGAGGGGAAAATGTCTATGGGCAGAGAAGGAGGGATGCTTAACTAGAACGCAGGCAGTAGAAGCACTTCATTTCACATATTCTACACTTATATACCACCTTATCATTCATTCAGTGTGACCAAATCACTAGGATATGTCACACATTCTCTTTAATCCACATGATGATGCTTCAAGTAACTCTTTAGCTGAACCAGCGGAGATAAAATTACCTATCACTCTCCAACACTGATTTCTGGCATCAGGTGGTGTCCTGATTCAGCACAATACTTGAAACCGGCAAACATCCCACACAAGGATGATCACACAAGAGCCTTCAAGGTTATGCATTAAAAGACCTGCTATTGACTTGCTACGGGTGCCTCTGGTTGCCATGTCAGGGCCATACAATTTTTAATCCTGGTGCTTTTTTCTCTAGAAGGTACCTTAGCAGAGAATGGAATCACTGTTTCTTGCGCCCAGGGCTGCAGAGAGCAACTCAAGCAAGAGCAAAGGAAAACACAAATACAAATACTACAAACAGTTTGAATTGATGGCTGCAAACACCCTTGACAGCTCCACATAATTCCATAATCTCAAAAAGGCAAAGGCAGTACCGTGCTAAGGAGGATCACGAAAGAGGCACGAAAGTTACTAAAGGAAAAATTATTTCAATAATGGTAGCAATTCTTTCAATCTCTGCTTTAAAATGTCTGATACTGTCAAAATGGGCAGCTTGTAAGGCTAAACTTGAGACCAGGAAATACCTCCCCCCCCCGAACAAAGGTCATAAGAGATACCGTGGTGTTTGAATAGAGATAATGGCTTCTTGATTAGGGGATAAAGGTAATTTTCAAAGCTCAGCATAAATAAAATAAATAATCAGGTGATAGTTTGAATGCAAAAGCCTGACCTTTTTTTTCCAGTTTGATTTTTGAAACACGCTGAATGCGTTTTCTCCTCATTTAAGTAACTCAAATTCCATGCGCATTGCACGTAGTCATCCCTGGGGAAAAAAAAAGAAGGAAAGATAAAACACACATTATTTTTTTAGCATTTATAATTGTACTTGGTATTTAAAATTGTAATTAGTGTATATAATTGTAATTAGTATGTATAATTGTACTTCTTGTAAGCCCCACACCAGCTCTGGGTTACCAGGACACAACAGTCACACCCTCCAGTGCATCGTTTACATAAAGAAGCCAATGCACAGCAATTGTATCAAAGCACACACAAGGAAAAAGAGCAAATGACCACCCAAATCCTACCCCTCCCTTTTTAAGGTGCAGAGTGTATGCCCTGCAAGAGAATAACCCTTGGTTGCTACATGGCTGGTGATGCCAAGGAGTGAAGGTCACTCGGGGTCTTTTTCTTTTTTTTTTTTTTTTTCTTCTTTTTTCCTTGAGTTTACAAGCTTTCAGACTTTCAGAAAATGACACAGTTGCGTTAAAAGGTTTTGTCTCTGTGCAGTCCCATCTCTGGTGTAAAGAACACCCGAGGCGAGGTGGGTTTGCGTCCCAAACGCCTGCCTGCAGAGCAGGGGTGTTGTAACCCCCGTGATAAGGACAAGGGGCACCTTATCACTGTCTGCAAGTCCCTGAAAGGAGGTCGGAGCCAGGTGGGGGTCGGGCTCCTCCAGGCAAGACAAGAGGACATAGTCTTAGTCTGTGCCGGGGGAGGTCAGAGTAGTAGGAGGAATTTATTTACAAAAAGGGTGATTAGATATATATTGGAACAGGCTGCCCCGGGAGGTGGTGGAGTCACGGTTCCTAGAGCTGGTAAAGGAAGAACTGGACGTGACACCCAGTGCCGTGGTCACAGGCTGGGCTCGGTGATCTCAGAGGTCTTTTCCAACCTGAATGAATGATCCTGTGACAGGCGGCACCAGATGGCTGCGGACCCTCACCCCGGGCACACTAATGCCCCTCGCCCAGGGCCGATCGCAAGCGCTCCCACGCACCGAGAGCCCCGCAGTCGCTCAGATATTCACGGGCATTCACGTTTTTCTCCCCTCTTTTAGCGAGAAGCGGGGGCCCCGGCCCGGGACGCGCACACCATCGACTTTCGGCGTTTCCAGCACAGCGTGCGGGGCGTTCCGAACGCGATGTGCGGGGTTGTTCCGAACGCGGCGTGTCAAACCGCGGCGTGTTCCGGGGGTCGCGGCGGTCCCGCGGGCGGCGCCCCGTGAGGGGGCGCGCGGCCGGCGCGGGAGGCGGGAGGGGCGGCGCGCGGAGCCCGCGCGGGGCGCGCGGCCCCTGACGGGCGGGGACGGGGACCGGGCGAGGCGGCGGCGGCGGCGGGTAAATTGGCTCCGCTAAACCGCCTGGAGCACCCCCCCCCCCTCTACCCCAGCCCGGGCCCGCTCGCCCGCTCGGCCCCGCGACCCCGCCGGCCGTTGGGGCGGGCGGGAGGCAGGGAACCCGCCAAAGCCCCGTCCCGAGCCCCGCCGGCGCTCGCCTGGCGGCGGGAGGCGGGAGGAGGAGGGAGGGAGGGAGCGGCCGCGGAGGCGCCGCGCTCCCATTGGCCGCTTGGGGCTCAGCGCCGCGCGCTGATTGGCTGCGCCCTCCGCCCCACCCGCCCGCGGCAGCTCCGCGCGGTGAATTCAAACCGGGCTGCGGGAGCGGCCCCGCGGCGCGGGCGGTCCCGGCGCGGGCGGCGGCGGCGGCAGCGCCGCTCGTGGGGGCCGCCGGCGCCGCCGGCCCGTGGGGTGCGCGGCGGGAGCGCGGGGCGGCGGGAGCGGCGCCTCCCGGGTACTCGGAGGGGCTCCCGGGCGGGGCCGATGGGCGGTGCAGGGCCGCGGCGGGCGGGGCGGGGCGGGGCGGGGCCGGGCCGTTGGGCGGCGGGCGGGCGCGCGCGGGCCGGGCCGGGAGGCGGGAGGCGACGGGACGAGCCCGAGGGCAGCGGGAGCCGGCCCGGCACCGCCTGCCCCGCCAAGCAGCGCCTCCCTGCAGAGCCGGCGGGACCTGCGATGCGGAGCGGCGCGGCGGCACCGGCGGCTGTCGCCTGCTGAGGCGGCGGGAGGATGCGGCCGGCGGGCGGGGAGATGGGCGCCGGCGACAAGGTAATAATCCCCAAGTCCCGGGCGCCTTCCCGCGGCGGCGGTGACAGCCCCGGTGGCCGCGCTCGGACCCTCGGGAGGAGGGTGAGGCCACCTCAGCCCGAGCGATCGCGCTTAGAAACCGCGGGACGGCAGAAAACCGGTCGCGTGTCACCTCCCCTTTAATCCCTGTCCGTAACGAAAGTTCCTAAAACGTCACCCCTGACGACCTTTATCCACCGAGTCCCTACGGAGCACCACTTCTTCCTGGCTCCCCTTTCCTTATTTTATTTTTTTTTTTTTCCTTGATGAAGGCTGTGTGGAGGAGCAGGTACGATGAGCAGGTCGTGCCCGTCTCCGGCGCTCGGCGGTGCTGTGACAGGGAGGGTCCAGCAGCGCTGGGCTGAGCCCTCTTCCCCTGCGGGTCCGGGCTTGCGAGCCCTCCTGGAGCGCCGGGAACCTCCCAGGGAGCGGCTCCAGGAGCTCCAGGGATCCCCCGGGAACTCCGGAGACCCCCGACCCCGTCCCGGGAGGGCTCCGGAGCGCGGGCCGCGCATGCGCGAACGCGCGGCGCCAAAAAGTAAAGGGGTTCCAGCGGGGAAACGGCAGGAGGAAGTGGATCGGGGATCCCTGATCCCGGGGATCCTTCCCTCTCCCTCCTCTCCGCCTGTATTCCCTCCTCTCGTGTTTCCTCTAAGCGAGCGCCGCGATCATATTCCCCCACCTCGCTCCGCACCGATTCGGGAGCTTGTTAAAGCTCGTTGTTCTTCTTAAAATTTTAGGGCTTGTTAGCCGACGCTTCTGTGACTCTGCAGTGGGTTAAGGCGTCTGTATATTACAGGGTGAATGCCCTGACACATACGCTGGTGCCTGCTCAGCCTGACAAGAAATTTATAAGGAACATCACACCTGCCGAAAATGTGTTTCAGTCATTCTTTTAGAGCTCTGCTGTGCATTAGCATTTGCTCTGAGTGCATTTGCCCCAGAGGGAAAGAAAAGGAAAATTACCTAAGGAATAAATGCCACAGGCCCTGAGCCTTGAGCTCCAGGCACAGAAATGGTTTTCAGTGACGGGACTTGTTGGTTCGGAGCAGGACTGGAGCTGTCGACTCGGAGCTACCCAAAAAATGCAGTGGATCTCTGTGCCCCCCTTTGGCTGCTCTTGATAAATGGATTGGTGGTTTTTAATCTCACCGTTGTTCTTTTTTTTCGGTGTGTAGGAAAACGAGCCTTCTGAGCCACACAGAAATGTACTGAAAACCCCTTTGAAACAAGCAGCTACCTCGCAGGTGGTACTGACAGAGAGACAGCCTGACTGTCAGCCACTAACCACACCCCCAAAACCTAAGGACACCTCTCCAGCAGAGCCATGGACACCTACTTCCAACCTGAAAATGCTGATTAGTGCGGCCAGCCCTGAGATTAGGAGCAGAGAACAGAGAAAGCAACTGTCAAACAGTTCAGCTGAGGTCCTACAGGCAAAACACTGTTTGCAGGTATGTTTTTTTTTTTTTTCCTAAGTTAGCTGAAGGCTATTCATTCAGCATGAAAAGTTGTACATTGACATAACGAAACTGATTTTTTTCAAGTTTTGATTTTGGAGCGTTTACCAAATATAAGTAAGGATATTGACTAGTAACATACAACAGGTAATGTTCTGCTGGTTTTGTTTCACAGCTGCTGAGGACAAAGGGAGAACACCGGGCCTTTGACACAACGAAGCTGTTATCTATCTATGTTTACCTCTTGTCAAAAATCCCAAACTCTCTTTTTCTCGTTCCCACGCAGGAGCACTTACTGGGAGATGAATACGAAAAATCTCAGCCAAGTCGCAAAGAGAAAAGCCTGGGATTGCTGTGTCACAAATTCTTAGCTCGGTATCCCGACTACCCCAGCCCTGCACAGAAAAGTTACATTTGCCTCGATGAAGTCACTGAAGAGCTACGTAAGTTGCTGTACACGCTGCTACAGACTCCTCCGTGCAAATGTGCCAATAACTTGCCGGTTGTGTTGGTTCATTTTTGCTTCATAAAATGTTGAATGCTTACTGTATTCTCTCAAGTTTATTTAAATCCAGTTTTAAGCTCCTCGTTCTTAGAACAATTCTTTTAACTCTTAAAATGCTAAAGTTTCTTCAATGAACCGAACAGAGAAACTCTGAATTCTGTTTCATATTAAACATCTAAATTATTGCTGATACCACAAATAACCAGTTGCATGCATCAGAGATGATGGCTAAGATTAGTAGCTGGGTTTTTGCAGCAGGAACTTGCATTTTTCAAACTGAATCCACAACTTCCTGTCCAACCACGACATCAAAGCAAGAAATATTTTCTGCCTTTGATGATAATTTAGCTTTCTCATTTTATATCACTATTTTTGTATTGCATCAATGATCTTCTGAGAGTCTAAGTTGCCAGCATCAAGCTGAAGCTTTTGTAAGCCAAAAAGCTTTGCAGTTACAGTGTTCTACAGATTATACGCTGGTAATAGTTATAAAAATAGTTATAAACATTTTAAAGAACTGTGATTTACGTTTTTCTGTACTTTGTACAAAAGAACATCTCTTTTAGAAAATGCCTACCCAAAACCAAGAATTTAACAGAAAAAAAGAGAAAAGGACAGTGTGTTGATCGAATAACATATAAAATGAAGTTAAAAAGCACTTACCTACTGTAAGTTTCCAAGCTTATTTAAGGGGACAATCTAAAATTGATGCAATGAATAATTAAAAATGCTTTGTTTTTTTTTAAAGCTGGATTGAAACCCATCTAATGGCTCTTCTGGCAACAGTAAGTTTAATTTCTTAAGGAATGCTGTAAGCCAAGTACAACTGTGGAACAGCAAGTCCCTCCATATCTGAAGCAAGAATTGTTTTCCTCGCTGGCAAGACCTACGAGGGCTATTTCCACAAACTTTTGTAACAAGGAATTGGCAAAAATTGTGCACAAGTGTATTAAGAGAGGAGGAAGGATAGGGATCTGTTGCAGGTAAATGCATGACTAAACCTCTTTTGTGTAGTAAGAGACGTCACGTTCATCTCTTTCCTTCCCAGATGTTGAACGCAGGCGCATCTATGACATTGTGAATGTGCTGGAGAGCCTGCACATGGTGAGCCGCCTGGCCAGGAACAGATACGTTTGGCACGGCAGGCATAACCTCCCCCAGACCCTGCAGGCTCTGAAAAAGGTTGGAGAAGAGAACAAATACATCCAGCAGATTCAGATGATCAAGAAAAGGGAGTACGAGCACGAGTTTGATCCTGACGGTGAAAGAAGTGAAGAAACGGCAAGTTCTCTTGGCTCGAGTGAACAGTCAGAAATGTCTTTTGTCGAGCTCCCAGGAGTGGAATTTCGTGCTGGTAATAATTCTCTACAATGCTGAAAATAATATGTGTAATGATAAATATCTGTGAACCCGGAAAAAAACATTTGCTGGCCTTTTTTTTTCAGAGATGATACTGCCCCCGAGGCACCACAACTGCTCGCGGGGAGAAAAAGTGCCCTGCACTCTTTCATTTGTTTTATTAATTCAATTCTTGCACATGTAGTTTGTTTTTATAGGGCAAGAACAAGGGAGCATCAGGTGAAACTATCAAATATACCAACATACAATGCCAAAATACACAAAATACATCAAATATACTAAAATACAATCAATTATTGTTGAGTTGTTATAAAGCCAGAAATTACCATGGAATGTTATAGAAGCAAAAATCATAAGTTAATTTTTTAATTTAGGTTTGATTCATGGAAGAAATTTTAATTATTTAATTTTAATTAAGGGTCAAGCATCTTTACTCTTAAAGATCACACTCTCTTTTGTGTAGTTAGAGACTTGATATCCACCCAGTTATCTGACTCTTGTCATGAGTCTGGAGTTCACATTGGCCCTGTCTAGTCACTGTGTTGTTTGTTCTTGTAATTATTAGTACTGACAAATTTTTTTCAGTGTTTCAGAAATGTTTGTAGCTGGTGTGTCACTTAATACTTTAATCTCTTCTCCTGTCTGCTGCAGCGTCAGTAAATGGCAGGAAATACAAGTCTTTACGAGTGATGAGTCAGAAATTTGTGATGCTGTTTCTTGTTTCAACACCTCAAATAGTGAGCCTTGAAGTGGCTGCTAAAATCCTGATTGGAGAAGACCAGTTAGAAGACTTAGATAAAAGCAAGTTTAAAAGTAAGTAAATATAAAGTGTAAGCTAAATGAATTATTCCAGCATTAGTTCATATAATGTAAAATGCTGTCATATTTTTCCTGCCATATTTGAGCCTCCAAAAACTCACTAAACACCTTGTGCTGTTTATAAGAGGGACCCACCTGTATAGTCATTGATACAAAATGCCCACAAGAGGAAAAGCCCATTAAATCCTCACTCCTGAAGTTCCTCATTGGTAACAATTTCTTTCCTCAAGAGGCCTGTCAGAAATTTTCAGCATCATTTCACCAAAGATGCCCCCCAGTTATTCAAATCTGTGCTCTGGTCATATAACTCACTTGGTGGAAATATAAAGAGATTCTGTAAGAGTCCTCAGTAGTAATTTAAATGTCAGAGGAAGTGAAACCAAAAGCTTTAACTGCCAGTTATTTCGACATTCTTTTACCCTGCTCTCAGTTCCCTACACACTTCCTCTCCATTCAAATGGAAAGGTACTTCTAGGTCTAGGTCTGTACATGTATAATAATTAAAACAATAAAAAATGTGCCTGCTTTTGAGGGATCGAGAATTAATTGTGGATTTCACCGAAAATTAAACCCTTCCTTGATTATCAGGATTTTGCAGAATTGTATCTATGTAAAAACTCACTGGTTTGAGTTCATCATTTCCTTTTCACTCCCTCATGGCAACACAGAGGGGGTGGAGGGTTAGTCAGTAGGGTTTTTTGTTTGTTTTCAGTCTTCCTCCATAAAGCCTGTCTCACAATAAAACCATTTTCAGGGCATTCCAGCCTGTATTTCAGGTATCCCATATTTTACCATGTTCTTGGTTACAGAGCACAGTCCCAAGTTCCATGACTTGCTAGACTTTTAAATTTTCAGTAGCAGAAGCTTTGCCTTCTAGAAATCACTTGTAGTTTGACTTGTGCCTACAACTTTTCCCTAATAGCTCAACCCAGAGACAGTGAAGAACATGCAGGATGATTATCCTGTTGCATTTTAGTCTCTCTGCCCTTCAGTTCCCACGTTTCCCATTGCATGTGTGTACCTGCCTTTTAATCTACTTATTTTTACTAAAGAATTTGTATAGATTTGATCATTGCACAGGAAAATGTTTGTTTGGGTTTTTTTCTGTATTTTCTTTTCTAGATCTGTATCTAGGTCATTCTATTTTACATGTAAACTTTGTATCACAATATGTTATTTCATTGCATAAATACCTGTTCCACAAACAAAGAAAATTTTAAAGCTTTTTCCTTTTAGCTGCCATTTTTCATCTTGTTCATTGGAATTGCCTTACTTAACCTTTATTTATTTTTATTTCATTTCAGCCAAAATTAGGAGACTTTATGACATAGCAAATGTTCTCAGCAGCCTTAAGCTTATCAAGAAAGTTCACGTTACAGAGGAGAGAGGTAGAAAACCAGCATTCAAGTGGACAGGACCTGAGGTCTTGCCAAACATTCAGGGTAGGTGGATGTGTAATTTCCTTTTGTTCTGCTGATGATTTTTGATTTTTATTTTGTTTTCTCTATTAGAATTTCTAGATCAAGAATAACTAAGCAGAAAATCTTCTACTGGTCACATCTCTGTCCTTAGTCCTTGACAGCACAGCACACCAGTATCTATTTCCACATAGCAGATGTTCTCATACTGAGAGTCTTGAATTCCCTGTTTGCTGCTGCTGGTACTCCAGTAATTATAACCCAGGCTCAAATAATTGCTTTTAACTACTGAATCTTCATTTTATATGTATTTTCTCCTTTCTTCCTGCGCTTTAGATACAAAACTTGAAGCAACTTCTACGACCTGTTCCCCACCTGTTTCAGAATCCGTCCCTTCCAAAGAGCCCTGCTCAAAAAACCTTTTTCCTTCAAAAGGAAAGCAAAACTTCACTCGGCATTCATCTCTAATAAAGTTAGTTAAGAGTATAGAAAATGACAGAAGAAAGATCCAGTCTGCTCCAACCAGCCCAGTTAAAATGAGTACAAGTAGGTATCTTTTTCTTAAGTTTGTTTTTAAGTCAGATCCAGTCTTGCATTAGATATGTGGGCTTGCTTTGGGCTATACTCTCTAAACATTTCTTCTATATTCTAGAAAATTGGCAGGAAATTACCTATCAATGTTGATGTTCTTGTTAAGGATCCTCTCTGGGGGCTTTAATATTCATCCAGTTGATAAAATCAAGTCTGAGCTGCAGTTTGAGGATAATAAGTCTTAGTGCCTTGCCACTGAGTGTGTTTGCTACCTTAAATAAAGCAATCTCCTCAAATTAAAGCTAAAATTTTGACTTCTACGTTTGATGTACTAACAGTTTTTGATTTTGGTTTTCCTCCTCCCACCAGGTACTTATCAAAGCTTACCAGTTTTCCCGAGTACAATAACTCAGCTTCCCGCAATCGCTAAACCGCAGCTGGAAGGACAATCCAAGTAAGTTTGCACAAGTGTGAGAAGCTTTATGATGCCACTGGCCATTCAGTTAAAGTTATGCTCAGTTTGAGTGGGGCAATGGTCTGCAAAAGCAGCTAACCATTGGTACTGCAGGCTGTTTATTCACTTACTTTCTGTTCACTGGATTGAGAAGTACAAGTTCACGTTAAGCCTTTGCGCTACAGAAAATAATTTGTCAGGGGCATTCGTTTCTGCCTGAAGGAATTAAAATATGTTTGGGCTTTTCTGTTTGTTTGTTTGTTTGTTTTGTTTAAGGACAGCAGAGGAGATGCAAATGAAATCTGCCCTGTCCTCACCTGAGGCAGCCCCCAAGCCTGAACCCCCTCAGCAGCCAACTCCCAGCCAGCCCCTGGGGGTCTGCCCTGCGAGCCACAGCTCAGTCTCACCAGTAATCCTACCTCATCCTCACTCTGGGGTGTCATATGCAATATATCTGCATCCTTCTCAAGCCCACACTGTGACAACCTACAGCCCAGGTTTCATGTTGCAGCCTCTGCCATGTGCTAATGTCACTGGAATTAAGAGTAATAATTCAAAAGTGTTAAATAAAATAACCACTGAGGAAGGGGACAATCAGATCGCTACGGCTGAGCAAACAAAGCCTTTGGCAGCTGAAGAAAGACCAGAGATGAAATCAGAAACTTCATCACAGAGGTGCCTTAAAAGATCACAAGCATTACAAGAGAATAATTTAATTAAAAGGCATAGAGGTGATGAAGAGAGCCTTGGTACTTCTTTGGTAAGTTAAATTAGTTTTAAAATGCCATTTTAGAGCTTAATGATGTTGCCACCTACTCATTTTCAAAGTGATTTAGGAGCCTGCCGGTGTGCGTACGTGTTTTTAATAACATTATGTTTGAAGAGATGATGTTCATTTTTTCTGCTTGCTGATGTTGGAGGGCTTGGTTTTGTCTCTAAGAACACGTGTCAAAGTGTACGGATGTTAGTCAAAACAACTCCCAAAACACGTCAAGACTTTACCTGTTTATATTTTACCTCTTTATACCTATTCTTCTGGTTAGATCAGGTCGAGAGTGGGGTACTCCATTCTAGTACTCTATGAACTTGCTGGCACCCATTCTTGGCTTTAGAAGTGTTAGGAGGGAATGTGGACACATAAAAGTCACTGATAGGGAATGTCCCAAAATCCTGATGCCTTCTAAATATTTCCATCCAATGTTGTGCACTGTTGGGTTGTTGTAGGCACGATAAAGTAGCACATTAGGAGAATAAGAGGTTCAGAGTAACTTGATGCATATTGAGAAACTGTGACAACATGTGGTGTCAAACATCTACCACTTGTGAAGGAGAAAGAAGGCAAAGCATGGACCTGGTTGTCTTAGTGACCAGAAATTTTTATTGCACAAACTTGAGGTCAGGAGAAAGGAGAAAGCTTGCTCTCCAGTTTTTAAAAACGTATAAATATCATTGTATGGCTGTAATTGAGAATGTTAAGCCTTACAATATCTGCCTTTCTTTTTGTGTGTACTTTTTAAAAGGGAGAATCCACTAAAAACGAAAAACCACCTTCCAATAGCTCACAAGGGAATCATGAAATGGATAATGTCCAGGAAGATAAACAGAAGGAAACAGAAACATCAGATCAAAACGTGGATCAAAGCATGGCAAGTTGCTGTGACCAATGTAAAAAGGAAAATATTCCAGAAGATGAGGATAAAATCAAAACCAAACAAGACATACCTGTAGCGTTTGCCATCCCTACTCCTGAGGTAAGCTTTGCCAGGCACCACAGCAGGTCTTGCCATTCCTGGGAAAATGCCACTTGGAATCTTTGCAAAAGAAACAAAACTGTAACAAACTACACCTATATAGATTGTCTTTGGATGGATTTGTTTTAGAGTGCTTTTAAAACCTTATTTTGTAGGAATGTAGGACTTCTGTTTCTGCATTAGCACAGAAATAAGAGGGCATAAAGTGGCTTTCTGGCTTCTGTTGGAATTAAGACTGAGACTAAGGGCTGAGGGCAGTGATGGGATCCCTCACCTCCCCAGTCCTTTGTTTGCATAGACTTTGAAACAGAATCCCACAAAACTCTCTCCTCATCAGTCAAATCCAGTATTCTGCAGTCCAGACTTACCTGTGGGGGAGAACCTGAATAAAGAGCAGTTGACAAAAACAGAAGGTGTAAATGCAAAAGGTTTGTCTTCCAATATTTCTTGGATTGTGTTTTTCATAAAACAATGAGGTGACGTGTTGATGAATGAGTCCAGTAATTTCTTCTGGAAAAAAGGATTCAGTGTCAGGATTTCACTTTCATCTTGTCTAATTGCACTGTGTTAATCCCAGGTGGATTTTCAGTTCATCACTGAGGATATCAGCTGGAAACGGAGCCAGCTGGGTGGGCTTTTAAGAGCATGTCCTTGAGTCAGTTGTGTCTCATTTCACACAAAAAGTAGTAGAGGCTTGGAATACAGAATCCTGGGGACGTGGAGGATAAAGAATAAGAACAGGGCAAGGGAGATGCAGCTTTGGAAAACACATCTGGGTTTTGTTTATTACATGTTTGAGCTAAAAAGGTGTGTTGTCTATTTCTTTCTCAGACTTTCTTCCCCTCTGGTTATCTCATTCCTCTCACTCACTGCACCCACGGCACAAAGGCAGACTGCTCCAATAAAGAGAAAGCTGGGATGTGTTCCTTACAGCACCCGACCTACAGCTCACCCATTACTGGTGAGTGCTCAATAAAACAGGCAGAGACTTGTCTGGTTTAAGGGATTGAGGGCCACATTAGTCCTACTGAGGTAATGAAGTCACAGCACAACGTCCTGAGCCTCAGTTCTTGATCCTCTTCAACACTTGATGTTTCTGTTTCAGGTGTCATTCCAGTGACAGCCTCAGAGCTGAAAACAGTTAACATTCCCGCTTTTCACATAACACCCTTGAACATAATGCTGTCACCAAATTCCATAGCTGCTGCACCTGTACTGGGCAACTCCTGTCTCAATTCCAGCAGTGCCAGCTCTGCCCAAAATCCCAGTTCTTCAGCTCTGAACTTTATGCTGCAACACATAGGCCTGATACCTGCTGGTGTGCAAGTCCCTGCAAATCCTGTTGTGCAGCACGTGCCGGTCTCTTCCCAAGCAGAAAGCACCAGCCACAGCTCAGGAAACACGAACGTGCCAGAAGGGAAGGTAAGTACAAAAACACTGCACCCTGGCTGTGGTGGGTTCAGTGGGAAAGTGGGAAGTACAGCAATTCCTTTACAGCGGGTACAGATTTTTAAGTAAACATTTTTTTTTTTCCTGATCTTTAGAAATCAGCAGTGCCCAAAAAGAGCTAGCAGTGAAGGCCAGCCTAAGTACGATAGAACTGAGAGGTTAGCAAGGAAGATAAGTCACTTCTTTGTTGTGGAAGTGGAGCCACCTGGAAGATGACAAGATGGGAAGAGACAGCTGTTTTAGAGGGAGGATTTTTGCATAGATCTGAGATTATGCTTATTAACAAACTGTCCCTTTGTTAGTTTATCTTTCCTTCTTGTTACTTCCCTAATATATTCACAAGTTCTTGTGTTTAATATTAGCTTTTTTTTTTTTAAAGGATAGGATTGTAGAGGACTTTAAAGAATACTTTTTTCTTCCAGGAAGTTTCCCTGTATATTTTGTTTAATATTGTATTGCCTAATATCTGTATTAAAAAAGGAGTTAGGAGGGGATTAGAAAAATTGTAGTTTTATTTATTTTATTTCTATATATTTATATCAAGGAATACAGATATATTCTTTGTAAAAAGTTGTTAGGGTTTTTAAATGTCGGGGGGGGAAAAAAGAGTTTACTAACATCCTGCAGAAACCTAGAGCTAGAATTCACCTTTATTCCCCTTAAATGAAAGTAACTTTTTCCTCTTCTTTTCAGCCTTCTGCTCCAAAGGAACCTCAGGAGCCTCAGGCAGTTACAGAAAGCTTTTTCCGCACACCAGGAGGCCCAAATTCTGGATCTTCACTATCTACAAACTCAGATGGTACCGAGAGAATCTCTCAAGGAACTCTTTATATTCCTCAACGAAAACTTGAAGTTTTGGAAGACTAATTTTGGGATATGGAATTGCTGAATGTGTTAACAGGTGTAATTACTGCTGACACACTGCACACGTCTGGCATTGTATGATGGACGTTTTGGACACGTACTGGCAAAATCTCAATGCTGGAATAGCCTTAATTAATGCTTTAGAAATAAAACTGACTCTTCATGAGAGTTAATACCTAATGAATTTTTCCAAAAAAGGCTTACCTAAGGTATTTTAACAACAAAGTTATGTATCTAGTGGTTTTTTTGGTTTTTTTTTTTTGTATGTGTATGTTGATTTTCTTCTATGCAAACTAAGCTGAAATTGTCTTTGTACAGAAAGGTACAGTCTATCAGTCAGTACCTATTTTGCACCAAAAAAAAAAAAAAGTACTGTGAGTGTGTACATATTTTATGTCTTAACAAAAAGGCCATAGTTAAAATGTTTTGCTTCTATGTTTAATAACGCTCTTTTGTAAAGTTAGTAAAAACAAAAACAAAAATCCCCCAAAATTTTCTTAATCGATTTTTATATAAGTTAAGAATTATTTATACTGTATTTTTAAATCAACTTGTTCAGATTAAAAACTTACATAAAACCCTGCATTGACTTTTTCTGTTTGATCAAATTAGATTACCTGAGTTAAGTAATACACTGTATATTCACTGGCATGTCTTCATTCTTTTTTTGCCAAAGAAGGGCATCTCTGTGTTCTGAAAGAAGGGGAAAATGGAATTTCATCGGAAAGGGACTTAAATAACTTGATGCAACTTCTGAACTCTTATGGCTAGATATTATAGCTCCTAACAACAACAGTTAGAGGAAAACATAGTTATGAAGTAAGGGCTTCTGAGTATCTTTATGGAAAGTCTGTCCAAATGTCAAAGAAATTTTGAACAGGTTAAGTTAGACCATTTAACTTAAATGATAAATTTAAATCTAAATACATACAGCATCTCTTCTGCACTGAAGGAAGAAGGATGATGACTTCTCACTCAGTTCACACTCAGATAACAAGGAATAACTAAGAAATTAAATCAAAATGCAGTGTATCTGCTTTTCCAGGTTCAAATGTACCTGGCAGACCAAATTAGGACAGGAGAAACGGTAGCAAAGCCCAAGGTTCAGGCTTGGACAGGGCTAAAAAACAGAGTTAAAACAGCTAACACAGTAAAACTATGTGGCCTGGTCTTTGATAATGCAAAATTACAATACAAAATACACCTGACAGAATAGGATCACTGTGGAAATGCTAAATGAGGGGGAAAGAATAAAAGCTGAAACACGTAGGAATTCTCACTGCAGCAGTGAGTAGATTTTTCTTCTCCAAAGGGATAACTGATCGATCTTCTTCACACCTGCTATTGATTTCATTCTAGAAATATAAAGGCAAAGGTTTTAAAAACAAACTACAAACCTTTCGCTTTTGGACACCGCATTTAACAGACTTAGGAAACTACAGGAATTAGGGTCGATGAAATGGTCTCACAAACGCAGGGCTGTATCCTGAAAAGCAAAATCCACCCAAGGACACGATCTATAAGACATGAGTGAAGGTTACAGAAGGTTCAGCTCTCCTAATATTATGAATCACCAAGGGTGCAAAGGTTTTTAGAAGCTTCCCAGTGCTTGCCATGCACTCCAGTAGTGAGCTCAGTCCTGCCTCAACCCTTCCTCACCGCTTTCTTACAAGAAACCTTCATCCCACAAACACTGCACTGTCCCATCCCCTCTGCACTTGGAATTATCTGACACAGGCAGAAGAGTCCAATTAACTATCCAGGGGGAATGACCAAAAAGAGATGGTCTTAGGGAAAAAACAGTCCTTCAACTTTACACCAAGGACCTGTCTCTGCATAATAAAATCCTTGCCAGACTCAAAAGCAAATGGATTTATAGGCCCCTAAGAGTTTGCACAGCAGCCTCAGCACACAGACCCCTAAAATCCTAAAGTCTGACGTGGGTTTGGTGTTTGAATTCCTTACGCTCCCATGAAATTCCCGGAGCGGAGACTTTTCGGCTTCAGAGCTCTGGTGTTTAACCCCTGGGCTGCAAGGGCTTGGCCCTTTCACACGCTGCAAGGTCCACGATGCTGAACAAAGTTGCTAAATTCAGGCATCCCAACAGAAAATGAGAATTAGTGTCTAAAATTTTAAAGCCTGTAAAACGAAACCTTGTAAAAAGTAAGTGAATTTTAAGTGCTTCGTGCTTTATTGCCCACCTCTTTAACACATCTGCAGCATCATCCATTTCCAAGGGACTCAGTCAGGCATGGCAAATACAACTGCAGTTTTCAGACAGGTTAAATATTATACATATTAACAAGCCACCTTAATGCCTAAAAACAGTAAAAAAAGAAGAAAGATTACAGTGAAAAGCATAATTCTCTGTGTCCTAGGAGGCAAACCAGTTGTATCTATTAAATCATGAGCTGCAGAATTAAATGCTATTTGGGTTACAAACATTGTGTTCCAGGGGGTGCTACAAACAGTTTCTGATTCATTATTATTCTTAACAATTTAATATTGGCAATGTGACCATTAATAACTAAATCCTCACTTCAAGGGGCTGATATTTCATGATTCACATTCAAGCAACGCAGGAGAGTCACTATAAAACTTCAGTCTTTATTTCTGCTCTGTTAGGCTGCAGTCAGGAATGTCCTTTAGGTGTAATCCAAGGGGCTGCATTGTTGTCCACCTACTCACAAGTGGACACGGGGTGGGGGGGGAGGAACAAAATGCCAGGCTTTTGTCAGAGGTTATTTTCAGCTTGGTGATAGCAATGGCATTGCTCAGATCCCTGAAACTCTCATTCCCCTCCCCTCCCAGCTTATAGGGCTGGCAGGGCATTTAAGGAGGGCAGGGACCCCTCCTGTTCCAACCCTTGGAGGCCCAAGGAGAGAGGGAGACACTTCAAGCAACTCCGGTGAGTTGAGTCCGGCGGGTTCTGCCAAGACTGTCTTGATACAAGGGTTTGGGCAATTTTTTTCCTAACAGGTGGTTTCTTAACGAAGAAAAACGTGCAGGGATAGTACAGAAACGTGATTCCTACAGAGCTGAGAGCAGCATTTTAGGTTTGGAGCAGCCAGCTGATAAGAGATTCTTCTGGGCTTCTCAGCCTGGGGAGTAGCTACTGGTGTTGCAAGAACAGAGTTGTGGGGATCCTCGTTAGAGACGCTCATTTTGACTAGGAAAGGCTGGATAACTAAAGTTCCAGAGTGCTTAAAAATTGTGTTTTAAAAGCTACTGAATTATTTGTTCTAAAGATGATTTGGTTTTAAAAAGCATAGGTACAAAGCATACAAATTTGGGTGCTTTCGTGATTTCTCGCTTAATAGTAATGTAGAAGGAAAAAAACCAAAACACCCCCCCTCAGCCTTCAAAATATTTAATGTTAGTGACCAATTGGCTTTATATCAAATAGGAATAAAACTTCTATGCAGACTTAGCAGAAAATGGCTAGACAACTGGATGCAGGATGACAGAATTATTCCCACCTCCATCACTTAAGCGTTACAAGAGAGTGGGATTGATCAAGGCTTCAGAAAAGCCCCAATAATTTAAATAAAGAAATACATGTTTTTACTTTGAAATAATTTTACCCTTAGGTAGAAAGCTTTTCAAAGAATAAGCCTTGTATGTACATAAAATAATTCTGTGTCTTAATCATCACGGTGCTATTTCAAAGTAGGTAATAGCTTTACTTGGCACTTAAAAGACTTCAGTGCACAGTAAAAGGATTTAGAGAAGGATCTCATGGAAGGAAAAGTGAAAGCTGATAGCCCAGGACTAGGTCTGGAAAAAGGAATGGGACATTTGTACAGCAGGATGCAGCTTTCCACAGCCACATGGATCAAACTGAACTCCGAGCACGTATTTACAAATTTGTGAGTGTGGGGTGTCACTGGTTTTTAAGTCAGAACAAAGTAGTACCTTGTCCTACTTGTAGGATGAATGAAGTGCCTTGTCAGGGTACCATATTTTTTGGAGATGCAAACTTAAATTTCTGCAAAAGTGTGCATCAAGGAAGCTTCAAAAGAAACGTGGCATCCCTATGCTAGAAAATAACTGATAACTTGGAAGGTATGGCACTAATTAATAAACTTAAAATTCACCTGTATCCAAAGCCCACTGAACGAATGAGAAAAAATATGAGTATAAACAATAACAATATCAATGAGCTCAGCCTTCAAACACAAACGTTTCCTCTGTTGGGAATCTGTCCTGCTGAGAGAGAACTCAGCCTGCAAGGGACTGGATTTCGACAGAAACACCTCCAGGCTGTTGGAGATGCAGTGGCAGGAACTGTGCCTTGCACTGCAGACCAGTCGAGATAAAATCTCCCCGTGAGTGTTGGTTGCAGAGAAAGAGAGAAACTACAGCAGCATTTTGTTGCTACTGTATAAAGGAAGAGATATATTATTACCCCCACGGGGCTGGTGGGGCGAGTTACAGCGAGGAGGGTCAAATGAGTCACTGGTGGTCACAGGACAGGTCACAGCAGGGCTGTGATTAGATATCAGAGTGAACTCCTGGCTGCACTGGCATCTCCCACGGACTTCAGAGGGGATAAGAATTTCAAATGCAGCCCTGATACTCGCATTTCAGTGTGGGCAGGGATATTTGGATTTGATACCATTACTGCTCATTCATTAGGTAAGGCACTGGTATTCTTTGAGTCCAGACAAACCATGTAGCTGGGACTGAAATGAAGAGACAGATGGAAGGCACACCCTACCCATCATCCCCATCCAGCAATTCTACTACCAAGTGCTCACAAAGACCAACATTTCCTATTCTGTTTATCCCCTTCAAAGCCATCCTGCAGCACATGTGGCACCCGAGATAATCCTCCCAGCCACACAACACACGACTTCTGTAGCCCATTCAGATAAGGCCTGAGCTCCAGACTGTCCAATCCACCAGCATGTAGAAAGGAAAGCCTTGTGTTTAGAACAGAAGCACCAAAAAAACTACTTTCAACACCTTTTTTTCACCTGCAGCACAGTCTGGCCTTTTACTTACCTTACACTGCCTTTTATTCCTCTACACAACTGCATCAGGCCAGCACTGCATCCACCACCCACTGAGCTCAGGGGATCTAAATATATTTTTGGGTTATACTCTTATCAATAGCACTTTGATTAGAGGAAGGCACTCGGTGACAGCGATGTGACACCCAGATTGGTACAGTATGACTAACAGCCCAAAAGAAGACGGCTCACAATGTTTCCATGCCCGAGCAGAGCACACAAGCACTTCAAAGGCTCCCTTGCTCCAAGCCTGGCCTATATAGTAGTGATATAAGCTCTAAATAACGGGAGGCATGTATCCCTGGCTGCACAATATAAAACCCACTCCCTATAGTAACTGCATGTTGAGGAATGATACAAGCTGCAGAATAGTAACAGAGCGAGTACAAGAACACTCCTCCAGCTTAACAGTACCATGAGCTGCAGTACTAACACTCAAAAGTTTATTTAATAGTAAATAAACACATTTATTACGTTTAGGATGAGTCCGCCCTACTTCCCGCTAGATCACCAGAATTTAACAAGCACCATGTGGTGAGCAGACATTGCAAGTTAACCAGATTAAGACAACTAAGTTCAGGGAATTTCAAGGGGATTTAGATACTGACATCCAAGGAAATTATGTGAAATGAAGATTTTTGGTTTTTTTTTTTTTTTCTGCTGGCAAGTGGGAGACCGAGTTCCATTTGCACGTTGTGAGGATGGAGCTAGAGTTTAGAGGAGCAGAAAACTACGAATGCCATGTACCCTGTGGAGTTTATTTGCACAGGCAGCATCCACAGGGATGGCACTGCAGTTCAGTGTCCAGAGAGATGATCAAAGCAAGGACAGGACCTGCCCTGGTACCTCACCCAGCTGTTACTCCAGCCAGAGCACACATCGTGGCATACACTGCTCTTCCTACCCCGGCATCCTTATGGGAATAGTTTTACTGTGACTTTCTCCTTCCTCCTCCAGCTTCCCATCAGGTGATGCCAAGAAAACATGGAAAATGTGTATGCATGCCCAGTCATGTTACTATAATTATCCTCAGGGACAATGGTTCTTCTAAGAGCTCTAACCACGGCCCCTGACAGCACAAGGCTCACTATCACACATTATCAGACTTTTTCAGAGATTATTTTTCCCCCTTCAGCTAATGATGTAATTGGAGCTGCTTTCCAACAGCTATCCCGTTGCCAAAGACAGAGATGCTTGGTTTGCCTTTGAGGGGAACTAACACAGCACAAACAGCTTTGCAGAGACCAGAGGTACCAACCTCCCTGGCAGCTGCCAGCGCTGCCTCAGCTGGGAAGGGATTCCGCTGGAAACCCGATTTGAAAGGGAACACCGCGAACACAGAAATCTCATTTTAATTTTCAAGGAAGTGTCACAAAACCGATTTTTACCCCCAGTCTCTCTTCCTTCTTTTAAAAATGTTTGAAGTGTCACTTGAGCTATTTTCGTAAGAGAAAATGGCACCAGTATGAAAGTACTTAAAAAATATAGAATGGTGGAATGAGAATAAGATTCTACCTATATGAAAGATTTCTCTCTGTGCCTTTGTCTCACATTTAAAAGAAATGAAAAAAGAATTTAGCAGTGCTGTTCAGTAAAGGCTTCACTGAGTGAGAGGGATCAAATCCAATATATGTTTCTTACTCCAGCTTCATATTCTTAGTCGTTACACTACAAATAAACAGAATTAGAGGAAAGCTGAGTTTTCTTTTCCCTTTTGCATCATTACTGTTTTGGAACTGCCATGGCAGTTCATGAGCAGCCTCCCAAGAGAGCTGAGAGGGTCTGGAAAAGATTAATGATGGTGCTGCTGTGTGACAGCAAAGGACTGGGCTGACTGAGCTGGGGAGGGTGTTCAGCTGAGCATAAATCAGCCTCACAAAGAGGAGGGGAGGTTGGATCCTGCATGAGGATGACAGGTGTGCTGTCTACCCACAGGTACCAGTCACAACAGAGACTATTTAATTACACAGGGTTAAGGAGATACTAATCACTGTTGTGCTAAGGCAGAGAGGCTTGGATGTGCTGGTACCTGCACTGTTATCAAACACTGACTGCAAAACCTGCTCACATTGCCGTGTCTCTGGTGCTGTGGCTTCAGTGTGTGCACACACTCCCATGCCACCTTCCTTTAGCTGGACAGCTGTGTCTCTTATACCATTGTAGGATTTTTGGTGTTAGTTGCCAAAAAGAATTCTCTCCAGGTTGCAGAGCTGGCACATAAACATTGTTCGTTTCATTCTGAAATTCAGAAGATTACAGAAGTCACTAAGATGATGATAAGCAGGGGACATTAGTGTCCAGGGTGAATATATAGTAAAATATTAGTCTAAAATGCAAGTGATTGAAAATACTGGCTTATGTTACATCACTACTGTGATTTAGATCACTGCAAACTCCCCTCTATCTCTCACTTGACCTCAGAAGAAAATCCTCAGGTGGCAGCCCCGATTCAGCCTTCAAAACCCTTTTCCTAGTTGGAAGTATCTTATGGTGAATTTAATCAAACACAAATAGCACAAGCAGGCTTCAAAATAACTATAATAAGAAGGTGAGTGGTTTTCCAAGAAGGAGAAGGAAGGCCTGTGCCAGGAGCTTGGAACAACCTGATAATATGACGTGCAGGTGACAAGATGACGTCCCAGCCTTTCCAGAAACGATGACTCAAACAAGAAAACAGAAGGGCAGCCTGAGGGCTGGGCTCGTTTCTGATGTGTGATAGCACAATCATCAGGAAGGGCACTGAGCCACCAGGCCACCTGAGCTGGGCTCCTGCCCCTCACACTGCCCTCCCGTGACCTTGGCCAAGTCACTTCGACAGTCACCGCAACAGCAACCACTGCTCTTCTTTTCCCTTATGTTCAGATTTCAAAAACAACTGGCAAAGAAAGAAAAAAACCTGCCTTAAGCACCTTAGGAACCTGACTGTTATAACCTTACAATGGCTGAGCAGCACAGGGACCTTGCAGCTGCCTCGTGAGGAATTCAGGAAAGCAACAAACAACGTGTTTCTGTTGATGCGTCCTCGTTAAAGTGCCCTTGTTAAACTTCAAGGTGGAATTAGCCAGGTATGAACTGTATAAAAAAATATCATGCTGGCAAAAAAACATGTGACCAAGGCAGCTCATGGGGTAGTGGATGAAGCAGCACTTGCTTTGGAGAGGTATAAACAGTCTACCTGCTAACAGAGAGTCGAGGTAGGAAACTGTTCTGTAGAAAATTTAATGCCAAATACTGTCCACACTTTTGCTCCAACTCCAGTAAAGCTTCAAAGGGTTTGCTACCCTTCATTAAAATTTGCCTCAAAAACCAGATCAACCCACACTAAGCAAAAACTGAGGGGGAAAAGGCTACACTGGGGTACAGAAAATGACTATTTGATGGAAAATGCATTGCAAGTATGCAAGAGCAGTTGACTGGAGAGGGGGAAAAATACAATACCTTTTTCTTTTTTTTTTTTTTAAATCGAGCTGTTCTGTTTGAAATAATTCACTTTGCAATTTGATTTTCTAGGTTACCTCTCAGAGACAGGATGCCGAACTGGGGGGGCGGAGCCAAATGTGGTGCCTGTGAGAAGACCGTGTACCACGCCGAGGAAATCCAGTGCAATGGAAGGAGCTTCCACAAGTCCTGCTTCCTCTGCAGTAAGCTGGCCTGCCCTGGTTCGACTTCACAACATCCCCACAGCTCTGTATAAAACCTTCCATCAGTTCTAGCACGTTTGCTTTTGTATTACTGTGCAGGCAGTTTTTTAGCCCTTTACCCCAAGCAACCTGCATCTTGGGCTCCTGGATTTTCTCTTTCCAAGGATTAGCTGGTTTTTGTTAGGGACACTCAGGTGCTGCAGGGTCATGGTATTAGGGCCCGTCTCCCAAAAAAACCTTCCCCTCTGTCCCACAACTCGGCATATTACAGGTTTGCTTCAAGTTAAAAAGTCCAGCAGAACTAAACAAACACTCATCAGACAGAAGGATGTGTTATTAGGCTGTTAGAGGACATGATTACTTTGACAGTGAGCCCTAACATTAATCCATTTCACACAGAAAAGCTGCAAGACATCATCCTGGTGGCATCAAAACCTCCTCCCAACACTCTGCACTTACCTTAGTCTCCTCCTCCTCGTATTTCCCTCTCACTTGCTCTTTCCCTCCCACACTCCACTGTGATGTTGGGCAGGTGGCTTCCAGAAATCTTGCTTTCTCTGCAGATGAGCTAGCACTTAAAGAAACAAACAAACAAACAAAATAATCAGAGAGAAGGTATCAATTCAGCTCTGCTTGCCCTCTGTGGAGAGAGAGCAAACAATTTGCTAAGAAGTAAAAGTAGATGAAGGGTAGATGCAGACAATGCTTGAGATTTAGTACCTCTGCAGCATAAATTCCACTGAATCCAATTTCTCACCCTCTTTTCCTGGAAGGAAAGAAGGTATGAGGTTATTACACACTTTGCTGACATGATGCAGTCAATGCAGAACAAGTTTCAAAGGACACACAGGAGGCTTTCTTCAAGTGCCCTGCAAGTGATGCCTAAAAGGCAGAATAAGAAAGAATTCCTTCAAAAGCTCTTCAGTTATCTGACGACCTTCAGCCAATTCTTACAGAATGGTAAAAGAAAAAAAAAAAATCCCAGTCTCAACTGGTGCCTTCTTATTGCTTCCATGTGCAGTTTATAATAATTAATATTAAAAATCAGAGAAACTAATAAAAATAAGCATCTGTCCTAATAGAACATAGTTAATAATATTTCTCATTTTTAAATTTCATTCTTAGTATAACTGATTTTTTTTTTTAGTGATTCGTGATAAACAATATACATACATCACATTCTGACAACAGTTTGGTTTGTTTCGGTGGCTTTTTTGGTTGCTTAGATGGTTGTGTATTCTGTTGTGGATATTTTATCCTACTTATCTTTCCTTTGTAAGTCTGAGCTAAATTACTGATAGGTTAGATACTAAAAAAAGTACTCCCATCAGAAATATGTTTAAGGTCAAAAAGTAAAGATGCATCTAAGCCCAGCTGGCACATGAGAGGTATGGTAATTGGCTTTACTTTTACCATGATTCACACACACTGTTCAGCAGCTCTGGATGCCTCAGGATCATGTATCACATTCAAGGGCTTTTCTATGAACCAATTATAGGATTTCATTTCTCAACAGAAGGAAACCAATCCTCCCCAGAGTAATCTCAGGTATGGAAAGAGTTAACCTGTTTAGCTGAGCTTTCCTATATTTCAGTATTAAAAATATTGCAAACATGTCACATATTTTACATAATATTTGACAAATCAGACAAAACAGAGCAGTAGTTTTTAACCAAAGAGTTCAATTTCAGCAAAATCATAAACAATGCAAAGCAATCTGTTGACACGGGAAGAATCAGACAAGCTAAACTCTAAATCACACTCTCTCTGCTGCACAGTTTTCCCCTACGAAAGTCATGAGAGAGAAACCTCTTTCCAGCAGTCCCTGCCTCCCGTGCTGCTGTTCACCTGCAGATTGTTGTTTCCCTGTCAGGTTTTGCTCAAGCTGCAGCTGTGAGGGACATTTGGCAGGACCTCACACTGTCAACCCGAGCCTCCTCGGTGCCGGAGGGTGACCAGGATCTGTTGGGCAGACGACAGGTCTCAAAGTTATTTCAACAATAGCACTTCAAGGGCTTCTGCTCCATCTGTTGTGGTGAATTGATACCCTATCCCCGAGGTGCCAGAAATAGAAACACTTTATCTGCTGCTAGAGTTTCCATCATCCCTTAACTCCCTTAGCAAACATAATTACCATCTCCGAGCAGAAGAGACTGGAGCACGAGGGGATCAGATTCACACATTTACAGAAGCCCTTCATTTTATCTCTATTAACTATAAAGGTCTTTGCAAAACATTTTCCCCTCTGTGCAGTACAGGGAGGAGGAAAGCCAAAGATAAGCAGAGGGCTGGGGACACGTGAGTAGTGTTTTATGCAGTCTGGTCTATCAGAAGGTGTCCCTGTCCATAACAGGGGGTTGGAACTGGATGATTTTTAAAGTGCCTTCCAACCCAAACCATTCCAGGGTTCTATAATTAAAGCCACAGAGATTCCAGTATTGGCTTAAATTACCTGAGGTGGATGAATTTGACTCACAGGAGGATATTTAAACTAAACATAGGGGCAAGGGACTAATCAAACCCTCAGCTGGCTCCTCTAGAGCTTGCACTTCCAGCCACCGTCAATACTTCTGTATTTCACAGCTTTCTGGGGCGTACATGAACTAAGAAACTCGAATTTCCAAGCTGTCCACAGCTCACGCATGACTGGAACGCCCTCTGCAGGACATGTACTTGCTCAAAGCATAGATTCTCACTTACCAGGGTCCCCAAATAAGCAGCTGTTAGTAGAGTCTAATCCTTCCAAAGCTGAGGCTTGGCTTAAAGCAGTGCTGCGGAGGACATAACTTGTATTCCCCGGTGAAAGCTGGGCATTCCTATGGCATCTTCTGTCCAAAGGTCTCCCAGATCTTTCCTAGCGAGCTAAGCCAAGCAATATTTTTCTGTAACAAACACCACTTGTAAGAGGTCTCTGTTTTGGGAATGGCTTTAGTCATACTCCTGTCATCCCAGAGGAAGCCCAACGGAGCTGAGATTTACTTGCTCTGCCTTGGTGCCACAGCTAAAATAAACAAATAATAGTAAAAAACAACAACAACAACAAAAAAACAACCCAAACAAACAAACAAAAAAAAAACCAACAACATATCCTACCTGACTCTGGACATGGTATTATGTCAAAGCCTCTTTTAGAAACAAATAGCCTGGGCTGAGCTGAGAAAGCCACCACAGACTCAAGAGAGAATATTTTGAAAGGTCCAGATGCACAGTGGAATCAGTGCCCCTGCAACCTCCTTTCCCCCCCTTTTTTTTTAAAGGAGTTTAGGATGGTTATCTCGAATCCATCTTAACTTCACAGACCTAGACAAATTGCCTTGCCAAGCCCACGATTTCCCTGGGGTTACACTGTAACTTCAGAGAGGCAAAACAGGAGCCTGCTGTGTGCACACAACCTATTTTAGCCACAGCCCAGTCAAGTTTTACACCGACCAGCTCCTTGTTCTATATTTTTAAAGGTAAAAAACCCCGGCCAACACTAACTGTAACTACTCTAAACCGCATGAATACAAATGTGAAAACGCAGGTGTTGACAGATGCCTCTCTCTGCCTGTACCCAGTGGCCTGCAGGAAAGCTCTGGACAGCACCACAGTGGCAGCTCACGAGTCCGAAATCTACTGCAAGACCTGCTACGGGAGGAAATACGGTCCCAAAGGCGTCGGCTTCGGGCAAGGGGCCGGATGCCTCAGCACTGACACCGGAGACCACCTGGGCTTGAACCTGCAACAGTGAGTTAATCCCCACCGACAGCACCTTTGTCTGGCCCTACTTTGCCTCTTAGGAGGGTGTTTTAGGTATTTTATTCTGTCTCCATAACAACACCCAGCGTAAGCAGCAGAGCAGGCTTTCCTACAGCCTTTCCTTCCAGGGGCACGGTAATTTACCAGTTTTTAATGATGCTCAGTCTCTCTAAGGCTTCTTTACAAATTATTTTCTCCTTCAATAGGCAATTATTGTGCAGAAGCGGCCTTTATATGCCACCACAGCTGTAAATATCCACTGCAATTGTATGTTGCCATTTGTAGCACAGTGGTAAAGTCACATTCACTATAGAAAATGAGAATATATGTATATTTTTTCTTTTTTTTTTTTGCTGTCAGAGGCTAAAATCCAGTTAGGTTTTACTCTTAAGAGAAATAATCACACTACCACATACTGCTAGCTCTCCTCTCAGTGGGGGAAATAACATTTCTAAATCCTCCCTGTGGCTTGAATAACACTTACAAACACACTGAGGATGTGTTTGAACAAAGGAATTCTAATGGGATACCATCTTCCAAAAGCACATAATTAGCTCTGACAGTACATTTTTACAGGATTTGTGTTTGGTGTTTTTTTTATTTGGTTTTTTTTTTTTTTTTTTTTTTTTACAATTCTCAAAGCTGCACATTTCCAAATCAGCAACGCTTCCTTCTGGTCTAACTATGAGGAAACCAATTAACCAGTATGCTGTGTAGGGAATAAAAGCTTAAACAATGTATTCAAATGCGGCTCCTTGTGCGATATGAAGCCACTGTGGGCAGAGTTCTGCATCAAAAACTGTCACATCCTGTAGATATAATGACCTGTTGCCAGTCCAGCAATCCAGTCATTCAGAAATCGTCCTGTGAAAGGCTTTAAGCACAAACCCATAATGCACAACGGCCAGAAACACAAAGCAAAGCTACTCCTCTGATGTTGCTTTTGACCCTGGGCCAGGTAAAAACCCCAGTTCCCTTGCCCAAATGTTTCACTGCCTAATGAAACATCTGCATGCAAAACATCTGTGTTTTTATTTTCCACTCATTGAGCAACAGCAGACAGCCAGTTACAAAGGACAGAGTGGTCTTCTGCTTGTATTTTCCTTCTTGCCTCTCCATAAAACAACACTGTTTTTTATTCTCACTTTTCATTAAATGCAATCCTTTCTGCATGTCAGCTGCTGTCAGCTCCATGTGCTCAGCCCAGAACAGGTAACATCAGAGCCTACAGTAGCAGCTTTTCCATCACACAACACAGAATTCACTAGAGTACTTTGATTTTCTCCCTTTTTATCCCCAGTTTGCACGTCACATAACGGCAATTTAGTATTTTTCATCCCTTACCAAAAAAACCCCATGAAATACTTTTTCTAAGGAAGGTAACATTTGAAGCAGCATTTAAAAAGCACTGAAACCTTGTGTTTTAGGGGGTCGCCAAAGCCTGCTCGCCCTTCTACACCAACTAATGCTTCCAAGTTTGCCAAAAAGATGGTAGATGTGGATAAATGTCCCCGTTGTGGCAAGTCAGTGTATGCTGCAGAGAAGATCATGGGAGGAGGAAAAGTAAGTAGTCACTTCAGCACTAGAAACACAGTTTTATAAGGGTGATAAACTGTAGCTAATAGTTCCTTGATCATTCAAATTTTCACTCATAGTCTCGATGAAGAAAACATGAAGTAGCAAATTGCTCGAGTGGGATATACTTTCAGGTCTGAAATCAAGTGCTTTTTTGTAAATTTTCTTCATCTTTTCCCTTCTTTTTGATGTCTGAAGAACAACCCCTGGCTGCTGTACAGCCTGGCTCCTCCTCCACCTCTGGGGGATATTTATAAACATTTATCTGCAGTGGCAATTACAGATACATTAAAGAGATCCTGTAACCAGAAAAGCAGAAGCCTTTCCCAAATGACATGCAAAGCTCTCTCCTAGAGGAACTCTCACTAGAATGTGATCTCTGCACACTGAAGAAGTGGCCAAAACGAGAGCAGTATCTCCAGCTCCCTGCTTTTTACTAGGCCTCCATTAACAAGTGTGCATCAATAACAAAGTCACTCGGTGACTCTTGAAGTTACTCTTAAAGTAACTGGAAAAAAGACTAACCTGGGGTGACTAAAAGCGGAAGCCACGAGATCAACAAAAAGATTTTAACCTTTTCACATCGCAAAAAGCAGCAGTTCTTGGCTTCTTTGCCCTTTCTGTGATACACAATGAATTGTCTTCATCTCCTCAGCCTTGGCACAAGACGTGTTTCCGCTGCGCTATTTGTGGCAAGAGTTTGGAATCCACGAATGTTACGGACAAAGACGGAGAGCTCTACTGTAAAGGTGAGAGCTGCAGAGCTAAAATTAGTCCTCTTTAGACCTGGCAAGGCCATCATGACTTACCTTGTTCCATGCTTAACAACTTCAGGAAATTTCATTTTGCCTTTTTTTTTTTTTTAAACAACTTTCTGAAAGCAAAGCAAAGAGCCGTGGTGATGTTGCAATTGCAGCTCATGCTATCGACATTTAAAGTTTAAAGCTGTGATTTTTCTACAAATATCCCTCAGATCTACCCTCAGATCTTCTTACAGAACATTGGCCATATCTGCTGGGCAGGCTCACCTGTTCACCTGCACCATCTCACTCAGCAAAATAAAAAATCCACATAGATACAGATCTTCAGAGGTCATCTGGAATTCTTGCCAATTAAAGATACTTCCACTGTATTGGTAGCACAGAAGATAATGCATTGATACTAAATTATATTTCTAGATGTTTTCAAATCCAGAAAGTTCATAGACTTTACTTGACTCCCAGAAACAGCTAGAGGGGGAAAAATATGCCAAGGTTTTGTACCCCAGGCTAAACTTTATAGAGAGCCCTAAAGAAGAATATTTAAGTTCTGTGACTTTGGGTACAATCTGTCAGCCACGAGTGAGCAAATCACCACATCTGGAGAAACATGCTGACCATTACTACTGCTTCCTTAGCAGAGCTGTGACAAAAAACTATGCACAAACTTAGCAACACACAGTTCAACTGGAATGGTTTAAATGCTCATCAGCAGTTTCAGATCTATGCTCCTGTTCTTTTACCTCCTGGAAAATCCCTGACTCACTTACTCAGCCTGTATGACTCACCAGACCAAGTTTTACCGAGTATTTTCAGATAGGAAAACAGCTTTAATGAAAATATAAATCTGTAGTTCCTTAATTTTTTTTTTTTTGAGATCACCAGATGAGACTTTTGTGTAATTCAAACACGTGATTTCAGTTTCACAATTAAAACCCACCAGCACTCGTGGGAAATAGGCTATTTCAGATTTCCTTCCTTTTATTGACTCAAATTTGGTAGTGATCTAAAAACTAAAACCAAAAGGCATTTACCCCTACCTGAGAACATTCAGAATTCACAAACATCTTCCCCCCCCCACCCCCTCCTTCTTTTGCAGTTTGCTATGCAAAAAATTTCGGTCCCAAAGGAATCGGGTTTGGTGGCCTCACTCAAGTGGAAAAGAAAGAATGTGAATGAGAAGAAATGGATGCAGCAGTCTCACAAACTGATGCTGATGCCACCAAGTGAGAGCTGCTCAAGTAAAACATTAAACATCACATATTGCTAAGAACACAGGGCATTTGGGGCAAGATTTTCCACCCTGCAGGAAGAATTTGTGAGCTTATATCTTAAGAAATTCTTAGATTAGGTTACAAAGGTACAGTGATAGCTTTGTGTCTGTTTTATAGTAAACAAAGACAAAAAAATCCCTTGTGTAATATTATTGCTTCTTAAACTAGTATTTAGCACATTTTAGACTGGAGTTTTAGACTCAGCTTAGTGTCCCATCGAGGTACCTTATGGAGTGCAGGGTCTGAGGGTTCCAGCTATTTTAATATTATTGTATTTCCCTCTGTTCACAATGTTACTCTATTCCTACCAAACTCCTAGGTGTGTTTTGAACATGTTGGCATTTTGTGTTGTAGGTTACAGGTAGAGGTTATTCACCTTGAGACAATTAAAAAGGGTTTGAAATTCTTTCTACCAAGGGGAGGTATTTCCAAAGAAAAACAAAGCTTTCCTAGGATGCAGCGTTGTAAGTTTTGTTACTGTCTGTTTTTAGGCTACAATAAAGTACTGACTGCTTCACATTATTGTTATTTAAATTTGATTGTGCTTTTGTATTCCACAATGTTGCAGATTTCAAGATGAACCAAATCCCCCATTTCTTAACTACAAGAATTGCATTCCATTGCACTACTTGACTCTTATGTTGTCTAGATGGTATTTAACTTTAATTTTCTCACCTTGACCTCTTTCCCTGTGGGTTTTCATTGCTACCAACTTTGACTTACATTCACCCCAGTGCCCCAGGGGCCCTCCCAAACTGACACTGTAGCCTCTTCTTGGCTGACATCAGCCATTAAAGATCTATGCATGCAGCTGGTAATAATTCCCTCTTTTTATATACATTGCTATTTTTCCATCATGAACTTACCCATCTTCATACACTCACAGGGCATATGAATAAATAAAATAAAAAATAAAAAGCTCTATTTTATTACATGTAAACCTTTCAAATACAAAGACTCATCGGAGGTTTTCACAGCATAAGAAACAAGATTACAATGTAACCATCATATTAAGTTTTTAAATATGAACATTCACCTTAGATTTCAAATGTAATTGCCTTTTACTATCTGCAAGGATAAAGCAGAGGGTACCAACGTGGTTTTGAAAGCACTTGGAGCCACTCTCAGTCTGTTTGTCCTGCCAGCTCCTGATCGGTGTCAGGGCCACTGGGAGGGACTCAAAACCCAAAGAAATCCCAAATCCTACCGAGGGACTCGTCCAAAGGAAGAAAGCAAAGCCATTTTTGCCATCCACAGCTTCAAAACCTGTTCAAAATCCTAGGACAACAATACTGGGATTCACAGGAAACTTCTTAGCGCTCTTGGTTCCATTTTAATGTACCTTTAGTCCTCAAGGAGCAGCTTGGAGAACTTACCCTGGGATTCAGAGGCCAAGCAGGGCTTGCTTTGGATTGCCTTGAACCTCTGGCCCCAGCTGGTGCAAAGACAGCTTGGGCCAGTGGGGTTAAACACGCTTTCCTACCAAAACAATTGCTGTATCCCCTAGAAATTACCCCAAGTTTTCAGATAAAAATATCACCTCTGTCCCCACTGAGTCACCCCAGGTTTTGCCAGTTGGGAGCTGCAACGAGGCTGTAAATTCAAAGGCAGCAGGAGAAGATGTATCAGCAAAAGGCAGAAAGAAGGGGACAGGTTTCAGAAAACATTTCTGCAATATCATTAATAACTATCTCCAGTTTCCCAGTGAGAAGAACATGAATGCACCACCACCAAGGCCTGACAGTCCCCTGCAGCCAGAGCTCAGCACACACCCAGAGAGGCAACTCCATCACCTGAAAGGAAAAAAAGAAGAGATAATTTAATTTTTTTAAAAGTCATTTCAAGCTCTTCCAAGCAAAGCAAGACTTGCTCTGGTTTCAGTTGGGTGCACAGTGAGCGGTGGGCACAGGGCACGTCGTTAATGCCCACAGGGATGGTGCTTTCTGGGGGAAGAGCAGCTGACTGATGGCCCAAGTCCAATTGCTGCCCCAATTTTTGATTTGCACAGGACAAACCCTCTGGCAGGAAGGGGTTTTGTTCCTTGTCATGGTCTTTGCCCAGTGTGTCCCTGTGGACAGTGCCAGGCTGGGGTCAGGCACAGGCAGCTGCCAGTACTCTCTAATCCACAGACAATTCTGGGCTCCTGGGCAAACTGCCTCTGGAGGGTTCAGGGGTCTGGTGGGTTGTTTAT